CCTGTTATTAGCTTTGATTTTTAATTTTTTTGCATTTTGTTTGTTGGATAAGGTATTGCTAATTTTGCCAGTAGTGATCTTGAAATCACAATCCTCCTTTGTACCTAGAAATTATGTGTTCATCACACCGAGCAATTACATACATTAATTGTACAAATTAATGGGGTTCACTGTAATATGCCACACAATAAACTATTTATAGATATAGCGCATGCAGTTTAATGAAGTATGATAAGAAATAACAAAAAAATTCAACATAAAACCTTTTTATTCTTATGTGTGTATTGCAGAGCTCAGTTCATGTGGGAAAGGTCTCAGTCCTCCATTAGCCTTTAAGTCATTGTGCAATCTATTGAGCATTTCCCTGCCCTTAATTTTGTGAAAATACATTTCCTAAGAAGTAAATGGTACCCGGGCTGGGAAGATGGCTCAGTGGTAGAGTGCTTGCCTTGCATGCCTGAGGCCCTGGGTTCGATTCCTCAGCACCACATAAGCAAAACAAAAAAGCTGGAAGTGGTGCTGTGGCTCAAGTGGTAGAGCACTAGCCTTGAGCTGAAGAGCTGAGGGACAGCGCCCAGGCCCAGAGTTCAGGCCCCACGACCAGACCCCCCCCCCAAAAAAAAGAAGTAAATGGTACCCAAAAAGCCAAGTAAAAGTTATGGTATCCTCCCAGGACAAGAAGAATACATGCTGTGCTTAATTCAAGTGATAAGAATTTCAGATTGTTATAGGCCTACGCCTATAATCCTAGCTACTCAAGAGGCTGAGATTTGAGGATCATGGTTTGAAGCCAGCCTGGGCAGGAAAGTGTGAAACTCTCTATCTCCACTTAACCACCCAAAATAATAAGGAAAGAAAGAACGAAAAAAATGGAAATAGAATTGTGGTATAAACTGTAGAGTGCCATCCTTGAATGAAAAAGCTAAAGGACAGCACCCAAGTCCTGAGTTCAAGCCACAGTACCACAAATTCAGTTTGAAAGGTGCTCTCTCTTTAGAAATTGAGTGTCATTAAGAAAACAGTGAGGGGGCTGGGAAGGTGGCTCAGTGGTTAAAGCACTTGCCTTGCATGCCTGAGGCCCTGGGTTCGATTCCTCAGCGCCACATAAGCAAAAACAATGCCGGAAGTGGCGCTGTGGCTCAAGTGGTAGAGCGCTAGCCTTGAGCTGAAGAGCTGAGGACAGTGCCCAGGCCCAGAGTTCAGGCCCCATGACTGGACCCAAAAAAAAAAAAAGAAAGAAAACTGTGAATCGAGTCTGAATTCTGAGCTCTGTGCATCCTGAGCATTCTCAGGTTTCCCTTAACAGCAGTCTTGGGACCATATTCCACAGAATACCAAGGGCCTAAGTGGCCACCACCTCCCACTACTGCCATCAGTTATGATTCCATTGATGAGCTCCAAGTCATTTACAGAAAGCCTTGCCAGCTGACAACCAGGCCTTTCAGGGAATATTTCATCTTCAATCCATAACAGATATCAAGTTACATAATTGTTTTATTAAAGTTCTCCTGTGTTCTCTTCTAATCGTTTGTTAGATCTTACACCTAAGTCTTTAAGCCATTTTGAGTTGATATTCTGCATCTAGCTCTCCAGTTTTCCCAGCACATGTGCGCTACCACTGTGTGCCTGGCACCTTTGTCAGACATCAAAAGTCTTGTTTTTGTTTTTGTTAGTTGTGGGGCCTGAACTCTGGGCCTGGGCGCTGTCCCTCAGCTCTTCAGCCCAAGGCTAGTGCTCTAGCACTTGAGCCACAGTGCCACTCCCAGTTTTTTCTGTTTATGTGGTGCTGAAGAATCGAACCAAGGGCTTCATGCATGCAAGGCAAGCACTCTACCACTGAGCCACCTTCCCAGTCCCCATCAAAAGTCTTAAGTGCATCTTTCTGTTCTCTTAGATTGGTGTACGTGTCTGTTTTTATGTCACTATTGTGCTGTTTTGGTTACCACACTGCTCTGTTATATATTTTAAGGTCAGGTAGTTGATGCTTCTGGCTTTGTTCTTTTTGGCTCAGAATTTGTTTGCTTTTTTTTTTTTTTGTAGTCCATGTAAATATAAAGACAGTTTTTTTTCTATTTCTATAAAGAATATCATTGATATTTTGATAGAATTCTATTGGCCCTATTCAGGGACTATGTTGCCATTAAGAATTATATTTACAGCCAGGCACCGGTGGCTCACACCCGTAATCATAGCTACTCAGGAGGCTGAGATCTGAGGATTGAGGTTCAAAGCCAGCCTGGGCATCAAAGTCCGTGAGACTTTTATCTCCAATTAACCACTCATAAAACCGGAAGTAGCATTGTGGCTCAAGTGGTAGAAAAGAAAGAAAGAGAGAGAAAGAAAGAAAGGAAGGAAGGAAGAAAGAATTTATGCTCTAGGTGCTGGTGGCTCATGCCTATAATCCTAATATTCAGTAGATTGAGAACTGAGATCATGGTTTGAAGCTAGCCTAGGCAGAAAGGTCTGGGAGACTCCAGTTAACAAGCAAAAAGCTGGAAGTCAAGCTGTGGCTAAGGTTAGCCAATCTTAAGCAGGAAAGCTGGTATGTTAAGAGAGCCAGACTTGGAAGTGGTGCTGTGGCTCAAGTACTTGCTTTGAGTTGAAGAGTGCAGGGATAGCGCCCAATCCCAGAGTTCAAGCCCCACGACTGACAAAAAAAAAAAAGAAAGCCAGACTTAAGGGAGAGCACCCAGGCCCTGAGTTCAAGCCCCAGTATTGGCACATGAGTGTACATGTGTGTGCACGCACATACACAAAAAGTGATATTTACAAGCCAGGTACCTGTGGCTCACTGAGAATCCTAGCATTTGAGAAAACTGAAATCTGAGGATAGGGAACTAGGTTTAGAGCCAGCCCAGGCAAATCTGACACTCTTAATTTCCAATTAACTAGCAAAAAGGCCAGAACTAGAGATGTGGCTCAATTAGAGTACCTGCTATGAATGAAAAACCTGAGCAAGAGCATGAGGTTCTGAGTTCTGATCCTGGCATAAGCATGCACGCGCTCACGCATGCACCTGTGCGCTCACACATATACACACACACAGGTTTATTATAGGTGTCACACACCTATAATGCTAAGGAGGCTAAAGCAGTACAATATTCTTGCTACACAGAGACTGTATCCAAAAACTAAAAAAGGATCTCCTCTCAGGCCTATTTTTTTTTCTTCCTGGTTTGCTAAATTCTTTCATGCTGAATGAGGTTTTTTTGTTCGTTTGTTTTTTTTGCCAGTCTTGGGGCTTGAACTCAGTGCCTGGGCACTGTCCCTGAGCATCTTTTGCTCAAGGCTAGCATTCTACCACTTGAGCTACAGCATCCACTTCTGGCTTTTTCTGTGTATGTGGTACTGAGGAATCGAACCCAGGGCTTCATGCATGCTAGGCAAGCACTCTAATGCTAAGTCACATTCCCAGTCCTTGAATGATGTTTGTGTGTTTCTCTCTTCAGGGTTTTAGTTTGTTTTGTTTCCCTTAGTAGGAAAGACAGGATTTTTGAATGGAGTGGAACTAATAGAGGTTACCAATAGCTGACTAGCATCAAGGATTTCCTTGGTCTGGTACTTGATCAGGTACCATTCATTTTTTTTTTTAATTTTTTTTTTTTGGTCCCGTTGTGGGGCCTGAACTCTGGGCCTGAGCACTGTCCCTCAGCTCTTCAGCTCAAGGCTAGCACTCTACCACTTGAGCCACTGTGCCACTTCTGGCTTTTTTATTTTTGCTTATGTGGTGCTGAGGAATCGAACCCAGGGCCTCTGGCATGCAAGGCAAGTGCTCTACCACTGAGCCACCTTCCCAGCCCTGGTACCATTCATTTTAAACCACTTAGCCATCCTGAGGCTTCAGGCATGAAAGTCCGCTAGTCAGGGAGCTGAGTTAGGAAGATCGTTTGAGTTCAGAGCCAGCTTGGGCAATACAGTGAGACCCCATCTTAAAACAGAAAGAAAGGCTCAGATTTGCTGAATAAATCAACGAACCTCATATAAAAGATGAAAGCAATGTTGCCATGCTGGAGTTCATTCTGTCAGCTGCACTGTTTCCTTGGTTGTGGAAGCCAAGGCCAAGTTCAATGGGCTAAGGAGTGCAGGATGAGGAAGAAGAGACAAATGGCAAGGGTTGCAGAGACTGGAGATGAGGCAGATCATTTGGAGGAAGAAAAGCTCCTTAGCTGTCCTTTAGGACGACAGTATGCTACACATTTACTCATTGATTGGATTTACTCATTGATTGGATTTACTCATTGATTTGGCAAACCTTTATTCTGCAGGCTCTGAGGATACAGCAGCTTCTCTAATGTGAGGATCTCCACCCCTTCCCCGACCTCAGTCCACACAAGCTACCGTTGCCTGTGCCGCAGGGGCTCAGCTTGGGATCTTGGAAAGGATGGGAGGAGGGCTAGGAAGGTGGCTCAGTGGTAGAGCACTTGCCTTGCAGGCATGAGGCCCTGTGTTCGATTCCTCAGCACCACATAAGCAAAAAGAAAAAAGCCGGAAGTGGCGCTGTGGCTCAAGTAGTAGAGCGCTAGCCTTGGGCTGAAGAGCTGAGGGACAGTGCCCAGGCCCAGAGTTCAGGCCCCACGACCGGACTCAAAAAAAACAAAACCGACCGGACTCAAAAAAAAAAAAGGATGGGAGGAATTTGGCTCCCAGATGGCTTCCCTGGTTGGCGGCAGTATCTGGGACACAGAACCGGTTTTAATGGCACTGGACAGTCTCCCTTCCTCAGGGAATTCAGGCAGCGGGCTGTCCACAGGTGCAAGACATGGCCTCTGTGGAAGATAAGCCCTTTGTTTTTTTTGGGGGAAAAATCTGGTTGGATCTCTCTTCCCTAAAGCCATGCCCTCCGCGCTTTTATGGGAGGGGTGCAGGGTGGAAATCCCCTGGGTGACATCACAGAAAAGTCCACAGTCCAGGGACAACACTTTGTGCTAAGGGCCAGGAAGAGAGAGGGAAAGGGAGAGGGAGGGGGGGAGGGAGAGGAGGGAAAGAGGAGAGAGGGGAGAGAGAGACTTGAAGCCCAGAAGAAGCAGGCTTCTGCTCTGGCGCACAGAAATCCTCTTGAACTTAAGTGAGGCTGTAGCTGGTCCTCCTACAGGCAAGGGAAGACACCAAGCAGAAAGATGGGATGAGACGTGGTCTCCGCCCCGCTACAGAACTCCACTGCAGTTTCAGAGATGGTTCTTACCTTCCAGCAAACTCCACCCCACCCCCAGCACTCTACCCAGTCCTATCAAGCAAGTCCATCCACTGGGCTTCATTGATGGCTCTGAGGCCATAATGAGCACAGAAAAGGCTGCTGCTTCTGTTGCTTACTGCCACACGTCCTGGGGGGGGGGGTGCATGCATACCAGTGCACACTGGGCTAGTCACATTGACCTAGCAGCACAGTCTCTAAGCACCTATTTGGCCCCAGGCTCTGTGCTGGGTGGCTCTTAAGATATAGAAGTAAAATACAGCTTGGGCCCTCAAGATCCCCACATTCTCCTGGAAAAAAAACCAGACAGTGAGCAGATCTCTGTGCAGTGGGATTGGAGCTGTGGTAAAGAAGGGGCAAGGTCAGAGCTCCCAGCAATTGTGGGAAGAAAAGCACCAGTCCCCCGGGGAAGAAGATGGTGGCTTTCACTGACACGGTGACAAGGGAGAAGCTGATGGGGGTTGGGGGAAGATGAGGTTGGTTTAGGATTCCTGGAGACTGCCTGATACACTTAGGGGATGGCAAGGGCAGATGTCCAGGTGAGAGATGGATGTGGATGTGGGCCAGGAAGGCAGGCTGAGGTGGAGGGCAGCTTTATAACGCACCAAATGTGAGGCGCTATAGCGAGGTGCACTCTTTAGGCAGATTGGGCACCCAGGATAATATAGGAGTGAAAGAACGGGATGAGAGGGGGAGCCCTCACATATCCCTATCCACCAGGGTATCTGAGAACAAAGTCTGAGATGGGGAAATAAAGAGCAGAAAACTTTTTTCCCTTCCTGTCTTGGGGCTTGAACTCTGGGCCTGGGCACTGTCCCTCATCTCTTCAGCTCAAGGCTAGCGCTTTACTATACGACTTGAGCCACAGCGCCACTTCTGGTTTTCTGTTGGTTTATTTGGTAAGACTCTCATGGACTTTTCCTGCTGGGACTTGCTTTGAACTGTGTCCTCAGGATTGTAGGCATGAGCCACTGGCACCCGGCTCAGAAAGCATTTTTAAAAACCCAAAGCAAATTGTGTCATTTTGCTCAAGCAAAGGCAGAATATTAGCTGGGCACTGGTGGCTCATGCCTGTAATCCTAGCTACTCACGAGTTTTGAGACCTGAGGATTGAGGTTCAAAGCCAGCCTGGGCAGAAAAGTCCCTGTGAGACTTTTACTTCTAATTAACCACTCAAATATGGGAAGTGATGCTGTGGCTCAAAGTGGTAGGGTGCTAGCCTTGAGCAAAAGAGTTCAGGAACAGTGTCCAGACCCTGAGTTCAAGCCCCACAACTGACCAAAAACAAAAGGGCAGAACATTCAGCTTTGGTCATCCAAGTGTATCTGCAGGCTGGCATTCGTGAGTTCTCCAAGCTTGTAGCTCTTCTTGTGTGTACCCATCTATGCAGGCTGCCCACCTTCGAATGCTTAGCTGGAGGGAGGTGTCCGGGCGTGGCACCTTGGGAGTGGGGCCAACCATGAGGATGCACAGGCCAGTGATGATCATGCAGGTAGGCACGGCACCGATGAGGACCTTGAGGGTGACCACCACCTCCTCTGCCTGCTTGCAGGCACCCACTGTGTACCCTGCAAACCTAGAGACCCCATCCCACCCAAGCCGGTCAGGCCTGCTGAGCCTGATTCCTTGGATGCAGGACTCACAGAGACCCCACCCCACCCCCATCCCGGCATTCCTGAAACTTGGCTTCATTTTCTGGCCAGATGACCCTAATTATGGGGGAGGGGTCTCTCAAGGCCCTCCCCCCTCCAAATGGGTGTAGCCCCCATGAAAGATCCCTCACTTGTGTGGGAGTTTCCTCACAGGAAAACTCAGGAAGGAAATCTCCCTATGTTCCACAGAGCCTGCACCCCGACTCATGGGTAACCCGTAACTAAGTAGTCTATGTGGGCTTTGCCCTCATCTTCCCACACCCCTGGTCTTTTTTGCCTGTGGTCTATTCCAACCCTGGGACTGACTCCAGACTGAGGGTGGAGATGCCCAGGGCGAATGCGCCTGAAAGCTTGGTGAAGAAGACATAGGATGAGTAGAAGATGGTCTCCAGGCCTGGGCCATGCTGGTGCTTCAGCTGGAAATCATCCACCACATCCGGCAGCATGGACCTGCGGACAGGTACATGGAGTGAGCTTTCACAATCCGCTAGAGAGCCAGCAGCCTGTCAGCTCTCTGGGGACACAGACCAAGTTGGAGTCTTCTGCACTCAGAACTGACCCACCACCAGTCAGCGGTATGTGTCCTCTTATTCCCCACCATTCCTGCCCTTAGGGAGGACTACAGAGATTGAGCTTGGGAGCCCATCTCCACGAGTTGGGTAAAGGGAGCTGAGACACAGCGATTGCTGTGAAGGAATGAGATAACCTTTATGGAAGCTCCCTCCCATTTCCCTTCACCCAGCCTACCAGGGTAGCAGCAAGGACAGAGAAATGCTCATGCCAGAGAAGATGGCCACAACATATGCCACAGGTGCTGTGGGCACCGTTGCCAGCAGGATTGCAAAAGGCACCATCACCTGGGGAGAGAGACCCACAAGATAGATGGTCTCAATTCTTTGGCCTTTCATTCACCTGCTCACCCCCTCTTTGTTATTGACAAGCCCTGTGCCAGGGCAGCAGAAGGGTCTCCAGGCGCCCCCCTCCCCCCAGGCCTGGCTTCCTGCCTCACTCACACAGATCCCTAAGGCTGAAGTCTTCTTCCCAAATCGCTGCAGGACCCACTCCCACATCGGGGTGCTCACCATAGCTGCCACCTGCGAGCAGACGGCGTCATCACCCAGGGCCCTGAAGCTGACACTCTCTCCCAGGACCTCAGAGCCGACCTTGTGCTTGCTCCTGGTTTGACCAGTAGCTATGAAACTTTGGCCCTGCCCCCACTTCCACCCTCTGCTGGCATGAGACCAGAAGATTGACCACACATGTCCTTCATTCAAGTCCCCGAGGTACCACCGCCCAGGTCCCCTCACCAGGATGGTTATCACCAGGCTCTGGACATGGTCGTGTAGCCGGGAGGCATGCATGCAGAACAGGACCAGGTAGTTCTGTTCCACCTGAGGGATGGACAGGAAGTGGGCGTGGGCAGGAAACAGTGGAATTTCAGAAGTCCAGGGCAAGGACAGGGGCTCCAATCTGCCTTCTTCTTGGGGACCTTGAACTCAGAATGCTGCCAGTAACGTGGTTACTCTATAGAAGACTCATCCCCAGGCACCATTCCTAGTCCTTACCCAGCCAAGATCAGATGGACCTGGCTCGACTTCAGACAACACTTGAGGAAACCACCACTGGTGAGCCTCTTATAGCACGAGCCCCACCCCGCTCTTTCCTGCCAGGCACTTGTGCCTCTGATCCATGTGCCCTTCTATCACATGAGCCTCAGTAGTGCGATGGCTCACACACAACTGTGAACCTCTGCAGGATCAGCATAGCCAGAGCCAATCAAGTGGTGATCACCCAGCTGGAGATACCTGAACGGCAGCTGAGATGAACAAGAAGGAGAACACTAGAATCAGGTAGGGTGGGTGCCGAGCAGTGAGGCCCAGCCCAGCCAGGAAGCTCACGCCGTGGCCTGAGGCTGCGGTAGAGGGGTCTGCAACAAAGGAAGGGATGACTTAGCTTGAAGAAAGTTCAAGAGGAGCCCTGTCCAGCTTCTGCCTCCCAACCCTTCAATGTACCGCCATACCTGGCTTTTCCTTCACACCAAGGCCCAGCAAAGTACCACAGACGGGGTAAGTCACTGCAACCACTGCAGCTGCAATGGTGTAGAGACGAGTCTGCAGAACAGGGCAGAACTGGACTGTGAGTAATGTCTCCGACCCATAAAGGCAAGGCAAAAGTACCCCCAATGGGAACCAAGGGAGCCTCAGCCAAAACCTAAGGATACCTGTATCTCCTACCCAGAAAGGAAGCATGGAAGGGTCAGAGTGCTCGCTAGTCTGACTTAGCAAACAACCACTGCAGTGGGATGCATGATGACCCAGATGAATCCAGAAAACAAAAAATGGCTCAGGGAAAATACAGAGGTAATATAAAGACATTTGAAAACCTGCCAGGGGCTGGGCAGTAATCCTAGCTACTGGAGAGGCAGAAGCACGAGAATGAAGAGTTGGAGGGTAGCTGGGATACATGGTGAGACTGTCTCAAATGAAAAGAAAGAAATAAAGAAAAAAAAAAGGCCAGGGACTGGTGGCTCACACTTACAATTCTAGCTACTCAGAAGGCTGAGATCTGAGGATCACAGTTCAAAGCCAGCCTGGGCAGGAAAGTCTGTGAGACTCTTATCTCCAATAAACCACCAGAAAAGCAGAAGTGGCGCTGTGGCTCAAGTGGTAGAGTGCTTGCCTTGAACTGAAGAGCTCAGGGACAGTGCCCAGGCCCAGAGTTCAAGCCCCACGACCCACAAAAAGAAAAAAAAAGAGAAATTCAAGCGGTGGGTTATATTGGTACAGGAAAGAGACGGGGCGCGCAGGGCTCTGGCGTCCCCTTCCTGCCCTGCCTAGTGTCATGCCCCACGCATCCCTTACCTGGGGTGGGCCTCCTCCCCCGGACACGGCCTGCCCACCTGTTGGCTTATGTTATGTCAAGAAGGAACCAGAGGAGGAAGGTTTAACAGAGGATGGGCCTGGACTTGGGGCTCATAAACTCAGCTAGAGAAGCAGAGAGGAAGAGATGGGGGGCAGGAGAAAGGCCCCCTGGGGGAAGGAGGCAACCCTGTGGAGCAGGTCCTGGTCACCTCAGGTACTTACTGTGTCTGGGGACACAGTCACAGGCCGGGAGACCACAGTGTCCTCACATTGCTGGGACTTGTTGGCACCAGACACGATTAATCCGTGGACAGTGGCTCCAACCAGCGTCCCTATCATCTCCATGGTCATCCCTAGGGGCAGCATGCACAAGGTGACAGAGCCAGCTGCGCCTATCACAAGGGCAGCACCCCCCCACCCTGACCCCCCAGCGTCTCACTCACGGTATGTGGTGGCAGAGTCCCGCTCTCTGGGGCTGGGGGTGAGGATCATAGTGAGGGCTGTGTAGGGTACCTGGAAGAACTGGGGTGGCCCGGCCAAGCTTACGATGGCCCCCATCACCAAGATCATTGAGAGCAGGGCCCCCGCCCTGCCACGAGAAGGCTCCCCTGTTCCATTCCATCACACAGGTGCAAGATTGCTACACTGTTCAGAGTTACAGGTTAAAAGGCTAGAGCGGGCATCTGGCCCTGAGTAGGCCTAGTGATGCTAAAGCCACAGGCGCTGGTGGGCAGGTGAAGACAGTGGGTGGATCTTATCGCTCAAGTAGGGGCGACAGTGGAGCTTATCAGAACCAGGCTCAGTAAAGGAGGCCCCTGCTTACCGTAGATAGGGCCTGGAATAAGCAGTAGAAGGAGGTATACCAGAGGCCACGCAGGCTGATGAAGGGGGGCAGGAACCACAGGAAGAAGTAGGCCAGGGCGATGAAGGGCATGCAGCCCATTACCCTGCAGAAGCCCAGTTGTACAGAGCTTGCAGCACCAGGACAAAGTGCAAAGAACCAGCGAGGAGCCAGCTCATCCTCTGTCCTTTGGAAAGCTCGGGGCTGTGGCTTTCAGGGTGGGAGCCATGGAGATGGGGGAAAATGAGGGTAGTGGGAAAAGGGATAAAGGGATTCCTCACTGGCACTTGGGTGGTACCATTCCCTGTATTCAAGACACTGGGGGACTCAGAGTGTAATTCAGTGGTATAGAGTTTGGTCAAGCCCTGATTTCAATATGCCAGCAGGTAGGAGGAAGGTAGAAGACACCAGAACACAGCCTGTACCTTCTCTAAAGACCTTCTATAGGCTCCAGCCCAGCCTGATCACACTGAGCCCCCGGCCTCTGTGAGGAGAGTCTCTGAACTACAACATGATTCCCAGTCTAACCCAGTGCAGCTACTACACTGTCCACTCCTGACCCCTAGCACTCACAGGTGTCCACTAGGAACTGTGGACAAGCTGTGACAAGCAGGGACAAGATCAGGGTGGGGAATACCAGCATCTTAAGGACCAAGTGGCTGCTCACCAGGGCATGAGTCGTCCAGACCCTGTCCTCCTGCTTCTGTTGATTAAGAAGCCAGCCACAGGGTCGGCCACTGCCCCAGACACCTTCCCTGCGAACAGGACAAGTGATGCTTGTGCAGCAGGGATCTGAAACACACAGGGAGGGGAACTATAGCCAGGACTCTGAAGAGTCAGGTGATTCAGATCGGGGAACCCATGTGGGGCTAGAGACATGGTAGGAAGGGCTGCCGGCCTCCTGCAGGACACTAACCCTGGAGGCTCTGAAGGGCATCTGCAGAGAAGAAAGGGGCTGGAGGAGGGAGCTAACAGCTCCATGCTGCACTTTGCCATAACTAATCTATCCAGTCACTTGTAGAGAAAATCCAGGAGGCCCTATTTGAAGTTGACTTCTTGCTTCACAATAAAAATAACCAATTGGGCGGGGCACGGATGGCTCATATTGTAATCCTAGCTACTCAGGAGGCTGAGATCTGAGGATTGTGGTTTGAAGCCAGCCCAGGCAAGAAAGTCCATGAGAAAAAAAAAAAGCTGGAAGTGGAGCTGTGGCTCAAGTGGTAGAGTGTTAGCCTTAAGCAAGAAAGCTCAGGGAGAGAACTCAGGTCCTGAATTCAAGCCATAGGACTGGCACGCACGTGTGTGTGTGTGTGTGTGTGTGTGTGTGTGTGTGTGTGTGTACACACACACACAGTGTCCAATTGGTTTTTCTGGCTGTATACATGAAAAACATTCAAGTAGTACAGAAAAACTGCCTCAGGCAACTGGTAGAAGCATTCTGATAATCCTCTTTTCATGCATTTATGTGCATTTGACATTTATACTTTTATATAAATGGGATCAGATCAGTATCATTTTAAAAAAAAGGTCATTTATTTGGGTTTTAGCTGTGTCTCAAGTAGTAGAGTGCAATGCCTAGCAAGTGCAAAACCCTGAGTTCAAAACCATAGTACTGCCAAAAAAAGGGAAAAAAAGAATGCACTAAACAATTTCATTCTTGTCCAGTGCTGGTGGCTAATGCCTATAATCCTAGTGACTAAAGAGGCTAAAATCTGAGGATTGTGGTTTGAAGCCAGCTAGGCAGGAAAGTCTGTGAAACTCATCTCCAATTAACTACCAAAAAAGCTAGAAGTGAGGCGGTAGCTCCGTAGTAGTGAGCTAACCTTAAACACAAAAGCTCAGGGACAATGCCTAGACTCTGAGTTCAAGCCTCAGGACCAACGTGCGCGCGCGTGCGCGCACACACACACACACACACACACACACACTTCATTCTTTCTTACTTTCCATCTTCCCCCATTCCATCTAATGACCAACATTAACAACCTAGCTTATGCCCTTCTGTACTTTCATATTTTAATGATATATAGACACATACACACATGCACACATGCATGCCCACATGCATGTGCATGTATACACACACACATTGAACATGTCTTTGTTTTACTAAAATGGGATCACTTTTCTTTTTTTTGTCGGTTGTAGGGCTTGAACTCTGAGCCTGGGTGCTGTCCCTGAGCTCTTCAGTTCAAGGCTAGCGCTCTACCACTTGGGCCACAGCGCCACTTCTGGCTTTTTCTGCTTATGTGGTGCTGAGGAACCCAGGGCCTCATGCATGCGAGGCAAATGCTCTACCACTAAGCCACCTTCCCAGCCTTCTCACTAGCTTTTCTTTTGACAGAACATCATGGAAATTCTTCTAAGTTAATTGGTCTAGATCATTCTTTTTTTTTTTCTACCAGTCCTGGGGCTTGAACTCAGGACCTGGGCACTGTCCCTGAGCTGCTTTTGCTTAAGGCTAGCACTCTACCACCTGAGCCACAGCACCACTTCTGGCTTTTTCTGTTTATGTGGTACTGAGGAATCAAACCCAGGGTTTCACGCATGCTAGGCAAGCACTCTACCACTAAGTCACACTCCCAGCCCTAGATCATTCTTTTGAATGACTGCACCATGAGTGTTTACACTTTCTCATTTCCCACTGCAATAAGCATCCATAAGGAGATTGCCTTCCATTGTGGTTTTGTTCTTGTTATTAGGCCTGACTCAAGGGCATCTATTTAGGATGTTGGCAGTGGAACTGTAGGTGAGAGAGGAAAGACCCTACACCAAAGAAGATGTGAGCCGGGGGCTCTGGGCTGCTGCCCATACTCACCTGTGCCACATCAAGCAGGAATGGCTGCAGGTAGAAGGCTGAAGCACCGGAAGCCACCTGGTTGGGGACTCCACCAATCCCATAGCACACCTTTGTACAGAATGAGAGGCGACCAGCTCTGCTGTCCTGTGGGGAGACAGAACAACTAGCTTCTAACTCCACAGACTCAAAACACACCTCATGGTTTCTGTAAGCACCTGAGGTCGCTCTGATCTCCTAAGGACTTGTCTAGCAACCTTGAGCCCCTAGGAGGGAAGATACTACCAAGGGGAATGAGAATTAAAAAAAAAGATTATACATCTCTAAACCATGACCTCTAACCTTTTCTAGGGAGAAGTTCTTCCAAACGTTTATTTCCCTCCATGCCTCCTGTTGCAGCCTGCATTATGTACTGAGTGCAATCAAAGTGAACAGTGGGTCAAAAGACCTAGGCTTGGGTTCTTTCTTTGCTATCTACTGTCTATGTAACCTGTGTGTGTGTGTACACATGCGCACCAGTGCTGGGACTTGAAATCAAGACCTGTCTGTTAGCTTTTACACTCTACTAGTTGAGCTCTACTTCTAGCTTTATGGCAGTCCTGGTTGGCTTTGAATCACAATCCTTAGATCTCAGCCACCTGAGTAGCTAGGATTACCCAGGAGCTCCCAGCAACTAGGCTCCTGGGTAACCTTGAATAACTCATTATCTTTGCAATTCTTGTTTTCCTCTTCTGTCAACTGCAGTATCACTGCTAACCTCACAAAGTTGTGATGAGGAAACAAGGCAGTGGCCCTGAGAATTGAGTATTAAATGTTCCTGACTTTTGCAAACGAGCTGTTGAATCATTGATAGCCTGAATCAGCGATGGTGAGAGCACACAGAAGTCAGCCAACATTATCAAGCAGAACTTTTTTCCTTTCTCTTCCTGGAAAGACTGTTTATCAGTCTACTACTGACACAAGTAATGTTTATAAGCCTGAAGTGTACATCTATCATAGGCCCTAAGCCATGCAGTGAACTCTGGGGTATTGATTACTTTCTAACAGCTTGACAAGCATGTGGGCTTAGCCTGGGGCATGGTGAGTGTAGCTCCTTGCAGCCTACCCCATGGCCCAAACCAACTTTTAACCAGTTTGTCTCCATTGTCCATCTGCCTCAGGGCTCAAATCCCAGGCTCATCTTTGATTTATCTTTTCAATTCCTATCTCTTTTTTTTTTTTTGGAGTAGATACTAGGAATTGAACTCAGGGCCTTGCATTATTGCTTGGCTTTTTCACTCAAGGTTGGCATTGTACCATTTGAACCACACTTCCACCTCTGACAGTTTGCTGTATAATCAATCTCTAATTAATTAATTGGAGGTAAGAATCTCTTGGATTTGCCTGTGTAGGCTGGCTTTGGACCTTCGTCCTCAGATGTCAACCTTCTGATTAGCTGGGAGGCATAAGCCACCAGTACCTGACTCCAACTCCCATTGGGTTTATCAGTGACAGTCTCCTAAAGCTTCTTTGCTTCTGCTTTTGTTCCCTAGGTTCAACTTTCTACCCATCAGCCAGTGGTGCTTTAATAATGTAAATTAGATCAAGTCAGTTCTCTGCTTAAAGCCCCCTATTACAGTTAAAATGAAACTCTAAATTCCAAGACCTTGCTATGCCTACTGGAGCTGACCCAGTCTCCGCTTTCTTACCTGGTACATTCAAATAGCTCTCCTGGGAGCTTTCATCACCATCATTCGAAGTGATCAACTGTAGTTGTTGTCTTTACTTCTCATTTCTTTGGCTTTGAAGGCTCTTTGTGTGTGTGTGTGTGTGTGTGTGTGTTGTGTGTTGTGTGTTGTGTGTACTGAGGCTTAAATTCAAGGCTGGGGTATTGTTCCTTAGTTTTTTCACTCAAGTCTTTAACTCTATCACTTGAGCAACACCTCCATTTTTAGCTTTTTGCTGGTTAATTGGAGATAAGAGTTTCATGAACTCTCCTGCCTGGGATGGCTTTGAACCTTGATCGTCAGCTTGATCTTCTAAGTAGCTAGGATTGCAGGAATGAGTCACTGGCACCTGGCTTCTGTGTCTTCAAAAAGTTGACTCCTGTCATTCAGGTATGAGTTTAAATGCTAAGTCTTCAGAAGCGTTCCCTGGTTATAAAGTCTCTCAGCTCTACTTCCTGTCTGGTACATTCTCATTCTCATTCCTACCTCTCCTTACCAGGATGTAAGCTCTCTGAGGCTATCAACTAACTTTCATTTGTCATGATGCCTCCAGTCCCTAGAACAATGCTTGGCATATAGTATGCTCCATGAGGATGCTATGAAGTGATATTTCAAAAGATTCTAGGAGTTGGACACTAGTGGGTCATACCTAGCTACTCAGGAGGCTGAGATCTGAGGATCACAGTTCAAAGCCAGCCCCTGCAGGAAAGTCTGTGAGACTCTTTTTTTGGGGGGGGGGTCCAGTCGTGGGGCCTGAACTCTGGGCGCTCTACCACTTGAGCTGCAGCGCCACTTCTGGCTTTTTTTCTTTTTGCTTATGTGGTGCTGAGGAATTGAACCCAGGGCCTCATGCATGCAAGACAAGCACTCTACCACTGAGCCACCTTCCCAGCCCATAGAGACTCTTATCTCCTATAAATTACTTAGAAAAAAAACTGGAAGTGGCATTGTAGCTCAAGTGGTAGAGTGCTAGTCTTGAGAGAAAAGGCTCAGGGACAGCGCCCAGACCCTGAGTTCAAGCTACACTCCGCCCTCACACACCAATGCTCACGAAAGATGCTGGGAATTCTTCTTTCTCATCTTTAGTTTGAGGGTGGAATTGAATGTGGGGTTTTCCTGCCCAGTTTAGTATCTTATAGATACCACAGGCAGGGTCTTTATGAAGGCAAGGTCTTTCCAGATAAGGTTTATCACACCCTTTACATACTCTTCCTACCCACAGGAGAAAACCACACTCAATGCAGGATGTGTTCTTTTCTGACATTTGTGTATTATTTCAGCTTCCAGGAAAGCTTGATAGGCAGAATCCAGCATGACAGCCCCACTCAAATAATGGGTCTCTTGTTTCCCCCTAAATGGGCCTCCTAGGTTAGACAGAGCATAGAAAGCCTAAAGAAATTGCAGCTGGAACAAGGGATAGAACATATAGTTGTGGAGTCTCCAAAAGGACAATGTTACCTACATAAATCAACAGTCCTTCCCAGTCAGTCTTATAGTCAGACAAACTAGCAAGGTGACCCCTTTGCTGAGCTTGGGTTTCCTCACTTGTAATAAGGCACTTCATAGAGCTGTTAGGATTAAATGCTGACACATTATTCTGAACAATATTCTTTTTCTCTCGCCATTCATTTCACCCTAAAATTCAAAATTTCTCTGGAAATGAGAGTTCCCAGAGGCCCACCCCAACCTCTCTCTGCTCCTCTGCCCCACCCCTTACCATACCCCAGGTCTGCTTGTAAAGAGATAAAGTCTCAAGCTGTTGCCAGAACTTTTGACCTTCAGGGGTCTTCCTATCTAGCCTCCTGGGTAGTTGGAACTACAGGAAGGTGCCATGGCACCCAGCTCTCTCACTTTCTTTGTAGGAGGCCAAAATCCTTTTATAGATCTTGACAGTAAACAGTCAAATGAAGAGGGACTGGGGTGATGGTCAGCTGACACTACAGAATGCCTTGTCTACTGGGGTGAGGTAGATGTTAAATTAAGGTTAACAACCCAGAGCCCCCCAGCACAGCCAAGGAGCCAACATGAGCCTCAGGCCCAGGAGCCCTTCTGGGTTCTCACCTGTCTCTTTCCTGGCCTCTGGAGCCAAGTGCCAGGGAAGGAGGCTAGGGCTAAGCACAAGAGCTGCCTGGAGCCTGGGAAAGCCGAATACACCTGTCTGTACTCTGTCTGCTAGGGCAAAGCCCTCGGGGAGGGCCTGAGACAAGAGCTCTAGACTGGGGGTCAGGATGCTCGAGACCCCCCTTGACCTCGCCTGAAGTTGAGTGCATTTGTCAAATTCCTTCATTTGGCTGGGTTGGGCTTCCTGCGCTTTTCTCTTGGGGCATCCCCATATCCTTTTTTTTGGGGGGGGTCCAGTCGTGGGGCCTGAACTCTGGGCCTGGGTGCTGTCCCTCAGCTCTTCAGCTCAAGGTTAGCACTCTACCACTTGAGCCACAGCACCACTTCTGCTTTTTTCTTTTTGCTTACGTGGTGCTGAGGAATCGAACCCAGGGCCTCATGCATGCAAGGCAAGCGCTCTACCACTGAGCCACCTTCCCAGCTCTGCATTTTCAATTTTTTAAAGTTATGCACATTGTTACAGGTAAATTTCCCTTTATGTCATAATAATATAGTGGCAATAACAAGGAAAGCAATCATAATATTTCTTCTTGTAAGATGCTTATTGAAACTTTCATATTTGTTCTAAGTATTTATTTTAATCTTCATTACTGCTGTGATTTAAGAATTTCATGGGTGGTGGGAGGGGGGGAGTATGGGAAGGGATGGGAAGGGGAAACAAAGAGGAGGCAACAATGCTTGATAAGAAATGTACTGGTTATCTTGCCCATGTAATTGTAACTCCTCTGTGTGGTATTCTCACAATAAAAAAAAATTTTTTTTAAAGAATTTCATTACCCCCACTTTATTAGTGAGCAAATTAAAGCTTTTAGAATTTAATTTATTTTCCAAACTTACACAACTAAGTCTAGGTTTCTGGACACAAAGTCTGTAGTAGTCATTTTTTTTTATCCATACCTTTAGTTTACTACACATGTCCTGAAACAGTCTATGGAAATGTCACTAAAGAAAACATCATAGGAAGTGTTGCTGTGGCTCAAGCGGTAGAGTGCTGGCCTTGAGCTGAAGAGCACAGGGACAGCGCCTAAGCCCAGAGTTCAAGCCCCACGACTGACAAAAAAAGAAAAAAGAAAAGAAAACATCATAGTTCTTGCAGCTACTCTTTACACAGTTTCATCTCAGACAACATATTAATGCAACAAATCGTTAAAATTCAGTTTTTCAATAGTATACGTTTCTTGCAATTGTTCCTTTTAATGATTATTCTTAGTTTACATTTGTGTTAGCAATTCTGAGCTAATTCATTAACATTTCTGTCTCAAATTTTATACCCCTACAAATCTCTGAAGGTATTGATGCATGCTTGTGAAAAGAATGCATGCTATAACTCAAAGGTAACAACAAAAATGCAAATTCAATAGATACAAGCAGCAAAACACCAACAACCTGAAGGTATAGTTGCTGTGATAAATTGTCCCCAGATACTAGGTAAGTATCTGCCAAGACACAAAGGCCACGGACCACTAACTGGTTCCAAGTTTGAGGCACAGGTGTGCTTTGAAGAATGCACAGTAGGAGAGTAAACGGATTTCTGTAAGGATCATGATAACTAATTTCAATATCATAATACATTTCATCTCCCCTCTTCTGGGACCCCTTTCCCTCCCCTCCCCACCTCCCCAGGACTCACTGATCCTGGCTCTTCGCGGCGCTGCGTCTCCACAGGTGGGACGGTGGTGGGTTCTGGGGATGTGGATGCAGCCATGGCGTGCAGCAACTAGGCTCTATCTGCAGCGGTGGCCCAGCCGGGGCCTCCAAGGCACCCGGGGAAGGGGGTGTGTCCCTGGGAAGGGGGCGTGTCTCCAAGGCCACACCCCTGCTCCAGCAGCTCGCGGGACACTACCGGGGAGAGGGTGGTTTCGGTCGTCCGGGGGGCAGCTGGCCCAGGGCCGACCATGTTCGGGGGAGAACAGCAAGTGCCAGCGATGTGACCCGGGTGGAGCCCTGCAGCGACATTCCAGGGCTGAGAACCGGGAAAAAAACCGAAGCAACCGAATGCACTGGTTTGTATGTATGATCACCGGACACGCTTTTGAACTGCGGATCCAACAGCAGATTTCCCAAGCCCCGGTTTTCCACCTGTCACACAGGCCAGGGGCCCAAGCGCCGGGCAGTGGAAGCACGCACAGTGCCGGGGAATATATCCCACCCGGAAAGGGCCTTCACACGCAAGTATGGGCTGGCAAGGTGCTCAGGGGGTAGAGTGCTAGCCGAGCACGCAGGAAGCCCTGGGCTCCATCCCTCAGAACCACACACACAGAAAAGGCTGGAAGTGGCGCTGTGGCTCAAGTGGTAGAGTAAAAAGAAGCTCAGGGACAGTGCCCAGCTCCCTGATTTGTTAGGTCTTTACCTAACTCCAACGTCCAAGGAAGTTTGGGTTCTGATTAACTCACTTTTAGGGTAGACTCAGGTCTCAGTAATGCTGGGAGCAATTGCTTTTTCTCAGGCCACTCCCAGCTTTCTGAGGCAGAGAATGGCATTCCAATTCTCTTTATCAGACCTCAGGGCTCAGCATTCACAGATTCCCACAGGCTGGGAATGTGGCTTAGTGGTAGACTGCTTGCCTAGCATACATGAAGCCCTGGGTTGGTTTCCTCAGTACCAGATAAATAGAAAAAGCCAGAAGTGACACTATGGCTCAGGTGGTAGAGCGCCAGCCTTGAGCAAAAGAAGCTCAGAGACAGTGCCTAGGTCCTAAGATCAAGCCCAAGGATTGAAAAAAAAAAAAAAAAGCATTGTAGGCCTCATGGTAGGCTATAGCTTTAAACGCTTCAAAAACAATAGAAGCAAATCTTTGTGACATTAGGTTAGCCACAGTTGTTCTTGAAGACACCACATTATGTATGTATATTGTAAGGGTTGCTGAAAGGAAACTCCCACGTGCTTCAAGGAAAGACGGTTTATTGAGCAGGGCAGAGAGTAAACTTCCAGCCATACAAAATGGAGGTGTGTGGGGGCGGTCAAGCAAGATATTATATGGGGGAGGGCGTGAGAGGGAGTGTGGCCACAGGGGAAGCAGAGGTAACCTGACTCTGGGTGCCCTCCCACTGCACCGGGGCATGCCAGGATTGCACGTGGGTTACAGGTGCTGGGTGGGGACCAGGATGCAAGGGAGAGAACCAAGGGAAGGGGCCTAACGTGTGTGGTGTTGGTTGTGGGGCTTGAACTCTGGGCCTGGGTGCTGCCCCTCAACTCTTCAGCCCAAGGCTAGAGCTCTACCACTTGAGCCACAGCGCCATTTCTGATTTTCTGAGTGGTTTATTGAAGTCTTGTGGACTTTCCTGGCCAGGCTGGCTTTGAACCTCAAGCCTCAGATCTCAGCCTCCTGAGTAGCAAGGATTACAAAACCATTGACTCATACAACTCACTTTTTTGAGACAGGGTCTCATTATAGCCAAATTTGGTCTAGAAACTACTGTGAAGCCCATGCTGTCTCAAACAAATAAAAATTAAACGGCAAGGGTGACATTGTCCAAAAAGAAATGTACTCTTTACCTGACTTAGCTATAATTTTTCTGTATATCAGCTTTACAATACTTAAAAAAAAAAAGAAAAAGGAAAGGGCTGGGAACAAGGCTTAGTGGTAGAATGGTTGTCTAGCATGCATGAAGCCCTGGGTTTGATTCCTCAGTACCACATAAATGAAAAAAGCTGGAAGTGGCACTGTTGCTCAAGTGGCAGAGTGCTACTCTTGAGCACAGAGAGGCTCAGGACAATGCTCAGGCCCTGAGTTCAAGCCCCAGGACTGACAAAACAAACAACCCACCCAATAAACAACAACAAAAAACCAGCAAAGGTTTGTTTTGGCTGTCTTGGAAGTTTGGGTAGATGATCAGTTGGCATGTTGCTTTTGTGCTGGGGTAAGGTAGCACAGCATTGTGAAAGTGTGTGGTGGAAGCTGTACATCTCATGGCAGCAGAGAGCAAAAGGAGATTGCATCCCAGTATCTGCGTAAAGGACAATCCTCCAGTGATCTAACTTCTCCACCAGGCCTCAGTTCCTGAAGGTTCCACCTCCTAATAGCACCATGTGCTGGGGACTAAGCCTTCAACACATGGGTGTTGGAGGGTGCAAATCCCAACTATAGCACACACTAAATGTATCTGAAAGCATATGCACTAAATTTACTAGTGGTCCCTTTTGAATGACGGAATAACAGATGACTTAAAGATTCCTTTTGAATATTCACCTGTGCTAAAGAATACATTTAAAACAAATGACAAGCCGGGTGCCGGTGGCTCACGCCTGTAATCCTAGCTACTCAGGAGGCTGAGATCTGAGAATTGCAGTTCAAAGCCAGCCCGGGCAGGAAAGACCATGAGACTCCTATCTCCAATAAACCACTAGAAAACCGGAAGTGGCGCTGTAGCTCAAGTGGTAGAGCGCTCGCCTTGAGCTGAAGAGCTGAGGGACAGCCCCAGGCCCAGAGTTCAAGCCCCATGACCGACAAAAGTAAAAAAATAAAAAATAAATAAAAAAAAATGACAAAGAGTCAAACACTAATCTATGGAATAAGCCATTTCTTTTATTTGAGGATTTGGTGTGACGAACAATTCTTTTACCTAATACTTTAGAAGAGAATGAGCAAAGGAGGAAATCCCACTAACAAGCTGTCATGACAGTTTATCTCAGGACATAAAGGATGGATGGATGAATGAAAGGATGATTGACTGATTTTGATGGTACCGGGGTTTGAGATCAAGGTCATGCTTGTTAGGCAGGTACTCTAGCATGTGAGCCATGCTCCTAGCTCTGTTTTAGGTTTTTGAGTCAACATTTTAGCTCAGGCTGTCCTTGAATTTATGATGTTCTGGACTTTTAAGTGCTGAGATTATAGGCATGTGCCACCATGCTCAGCATAAAGGATGACTAAAAAAATAAACAGTGTTAGGTGCCTGGGGCTCATGCTTGTAATCCTAATCCTAGCTACTCTGATCTGAGGATCATAGTTCAAAGCTGCCCTAGACAGAAAAATCTGTGAGACTCTGATCTCCAATTAACCAGCAAAGTGTAGGCAATGGAGGTGTGGCTCAAGTAGTAGAGCACTAGGTTTGAGTGAAAAAAGCTAAGGGGCAGTGCCCAGACCTTGAGCTCAAGCTCCAGGATCAGCACAAAAACAAAACAAAATTAGAAATGTATCCATATGCAATTATTTTATAACAAGTATAAGTTATTTCACAGATCCTTTAACAAACAGTATTTCATCCTTGAGAAAACGTTCTTTAACCATTAACAAACCGTATTGCATTCAAAATACTTTAAGGCACTGAAATAAATGCATACATACCTTATTACCAATAGACTGAACTATCATGGAAAACATACTGGAAAATATGATTTTAAGCTTCAGCAATACATAGTAATTTAACCAGTAAATCCACATTTATAAAATTAGGATGTATTTCTAATAGATTCAACCTAGTTATTTTCAAGAAACTGATAACAGTTTTGAAACAACTGCGTAGGTAAAATCATAGCCACATCTAGGGTGTTTGCCTTTTTTCAAGTTTTCATTCCCTTGGCAATTTACTTTTTCCAAAGTCAGCTTGCATGAACTATTCTATACTTTTAATTAACAACTGTACAACTTAAAACTTTCAAATAAAAACCTTTATCAGATAATTATCCTCTTAGAAAGCCTTTGAGAATATTATTCACATTAATGAAAATTTCCAGTTAAAAAAATGAAGGTTATTGCTGATGACAGTGTCTCTCTCTCTCTAGGAAGCCTTCACTGGAGTGCATTCTAAATGTACACACATGAAATGTACAGCCACCGGGTGCTGGTGGCTCATACCTGGAATCCTAGCTACTCAGGAGGTTGGGATCTGAGGACTGTGGTTCAAAGCCAGCTCAAGCAGGAAAGGCTGTGAGACTCTTATCTCCAATTAACTACCAGAAAACCAGAAGCGGCACTGTGGCTCAAGTGGTAGAGTGCTTGCCTTGAGCTGAAGAGCTGAGGGACAGCACCCAGGCCCAGAGTTCAACCCCCAGGACCAACCAAAAAAGAAAGAAAAAAGGAAAGAAAGAAAGAGAAAGAAATGTATGAAAAGGCCAGTTGCTGTTGGCTCATGCCTATATACTAATCCTAACTACTCAGGAGGCTGAGATTTGAGGATCACAGTTTGAAGCCAGCCTGGGCAGAAAAGTCCGTGAGACTTTTATCTACAATTAACCACTCAAAAACCAAGGACTGGGAAAGTGGCTCATTGGTAGAGTGCTTGTCTCGTATGCACAAGGCCTGGGTTTGATTCCTCAGCAGCACATAAACAGAAAAGGCCGGAAGTGGTGCTGTAGCTCAAGTGGTAGAATACTGGCCTTGAGCAAAAACAGATCAGGGACAGCGCCCAGGTCCTGAGTTCAAGCCCCACAACTGGGGAAAAAAATGGACAGTGTATTCTGGTTAATTCATGATAAACTGGAAAATCCATAAAGGAGGCTTTTCTGAAGGTATGTAAGAAACGTTCATAAGAAAGTCCCTTGTAGAAAATAAACATGAAGTCATATAATTATACAAATTAAAATGATCATCAGCCTGTCCATTTCCTCACAGACTCAATGTATTAATAACTACCAGAAGTTATTATTATTTTTCGGGGGGTCCGGTCGTGGGGCCTGAGCGCTGTCCCTCAGCAGTTCAGCTCAAGGCTAGTGCTCTACCACTTGAGCCACAGCGCCACTTCCAGCTTCTTTTTGCTTATGTGGTGCTGAGGAATCGAACCCAGGACCTCATGAATGCAAGGCAAGTGCTCTACCGCTGAACCACCTTCCCAGCCCCCAGAAGTTATTTTCTATATCTGAAAGATGAATTTAAAAAATTTTGGCTAAGCTGGGCACTGGTGACTCATGCCTATAATCCTAGCTACTCAGGAGGCTGAGATCTGAGGATCACAGTTCAAAGCCAGCCTGGGCAGGAAAAGTTTGTGAGACTCTTATCTCCAATAAACCACCAGAAAACCAGAAGTGGCACTGTGACTCCGTGGTAGAGCTCTAACCTTGAGCTGAAGAGCTGATGGACTGCGCCCAGGCCCAGAGTTCAAGCCCACAACCAAACCCCCGCCGCCCCCCAAAAAAGGTGGTGCTGGTGGCTCATGCCTGTAATCCAGCTACTCAGGAAGCTTAGACCTGAAGATTGCGATTCAAAGCCAGTCCAGGCAGGCTAGTCTGAGACTCTTATCTCCAATTAACCACCAGAAAATGAAGTGCCACTGTGACTTAAAGCGGTAGAGTACTAGCCTTGTCCAAAAGAGTTCAAGGAGAGTGCCTAGGCCCAGAGTTCAAGCCCCAACACCGACAAAAAAAAACAACAATAATGGCAATATTGGGGATTTGAACTTAGACGCTTGAGGACTGGAAGCATGGCTCAGGTGAGAATGCACCAGCCTGTGAGCAAAAGCATCAGACCCTGCATCAAGTCCCCGAGACAAATAACTCAGGACCTTCTTTACAGAAGTTCACTGATTTAACTAATCTTTTTCTTTGTTAACAATGTCATTTGTTTTATCAGGGAGGGTTCTGACAGCTTGTGTAAACATTATCGACAATAAATATCTCCTATTATATACCTGCTTATTTCCTAGGGTAAAGGACAAAAAGGACAAAGAAAGCTCTCCTCAGGCCTCTCTTCTTCCCAATTAAAAGATCTTTGCACTGTGGAAAGCTGGGAGCCAGGAGAAGTAGACTGCAGACAGGAGGGATAAGGCTGACACCTGGTCATGTGTACTTCCCTTTTGTTATTCCTGAGCCTTTAGCTAAAATCCTCATCCAAATGTTCAGCCCTGTCGAGTCTGTGCTTTGGAAAAGGCACGGGTTTATGTGTCATGGTTACTTTAGGGTAAAAGGGGAGTGCCTGTCAACTGTGGCTGGAGGATGAGGTCAAACTGAAGAGAGATAGTTAGTAGCCCTGCTTTAGTGGCTTAGTGCAGGCCTTCAGTACGTCTATCACAACCCTAAGACACAAATTAGATGATCTAAGACCTATCTCAGATACAATGAGAATTTTGGAGGCAGATGTTAGGAATAGGTGTTTAGAAAATTCCTTTCAGTTGTGAACCACATATTGCTTCTAATGGTTGGATCCTAGAGGACTATGGGTCTATGATGTCAAAAGTTTTTTTTTTTAAATCATAAATATTATGTACTCTTTCCTCCAATTTTCTCATAAATGTGGTATCTTCCATTGCAATAGTGAGCTTAGAAATAGATATGAGATTCCATGTATCTTCATTAGGTCAGACCAGTAATGATATTTGCAAAAAAGAAATAGTGGCTGGGAATGTGACTTAGTGATGGAGTGCTTGCCTTGCATGCATGAAGCCCTGAATTCCATTCCTAAGTACCACATACACCAAAAGCCAGAAGTAGCACTGTGGCTCAAGTGGTAGAGCGCTAGCCTTGAGTAAAAGAAGCTCAAGGACAATGCCCAGGCCCAGAGTTCAAGCCCCATGACTAGCAAAAAAAAAATAGTAACGCCACTTTTTTTTTTTTTTTTTGCTTTGGAAGCTATATTATTATCTTTTTAAAGAGATAGGGTCTTGTTATGTCTGTTAGGTTAGCTTTGAACTTGTGGGCTAAAGTGATGCTATGCTATCTTAGTTTCTCCTGTAGCTGACAGGTACACATTACCAAGCCTAGTTTGGAAATTATTTTAGGTAAATATTTTAAAACTTGTAATTTTAATGTAATATTGATATACATAGCTCACAAAAATAAGCTTATGAGACCAAAAGCTTTATAGTCTCTATCCAGCAGTCTATGAACAGAACTGCGACTGTGAGCCACTAAACTCTTCGCATATGAATTGTATACTTCACTTTGAATTTGATTCAACAGGCCATTTGCAAAATACTTCCTTAAATTTGTTCTCAAGCCAAGGGGCTTTAATGTGACTAAAATACTTATGTTTAACTAGTTTAGGTTAAAAGTCTAAGATACAAAGGATGCTCTCATTCATGGCATCGTACAGTAATAATCCTTTCAGGTAAACACAGGTTGACTCTTATATAGACAGTAGAAAATTTATACTTTATGTGATACATTTAAAATATTCATAAATTAGTAATGTGACCACCCAGGTATTAGACTCTTAAGTAAATACAGTGAAGACATGAATGATCCAAATACTAGCTAAAAATAAATCTCTAATTTTTTGGAAAAAAATACATAAAGGGAACTGAGGATATTTTTTAAATTACGTATTTAGAAGGTATACAATGTGAGCAGGTAGATCAATATCAACATTATGCTAAAATATACAATTTTATTCCTAAATTAAAATAAATCTTAGGTACTATTGTCAAATTAAAACTTGATTTTGTCTTGCTAGCACAGAGTGAAAATTGAGACAGATTTAAGGTTTAGGTATAGCTATGGCGGAAACAGGCTTTCCTAGCCTTTTGATTATATCCAAGGTATAAAATAATTACACTGATGCTTTTAACCTGTTGTATAATACTAGTGTATTGCTATTTAATAATTCTGAGACAGCTAACATTTATATGAATACCTGTTTGAAACTGATGTGAATATTTTTGATAATTTGCACTATCTTAAGATTCTATATGATACAGTTATATAATAAATCATATGGTGATTAACTGGTATTTGAAAATAATTGTACTTTTATTTGAGAAAGCATTCTTGGAAAAAAAGTGTGTTGAATATAATTTCCTGTTATATGTTTCCTAACTTGTGATTATTTAAAAATTTTCTCATCAAGAGAGTTAAATAGCACTCAAACCAGAAGTCCAATGAATCTAACTTCTCCTTTCCTCACCTTTCCATGCCCACTTCCAACCAGCATTTCTCTGCAAAATTTCTACTTAGTCTTTCAAAAATCAATACTATGAAAGTTTTCTGAAAGGCTCAGCAGTTTTTTTTAGTCTCTGAATGATTACAGTATTTTGTAAAGCGGCTTCTTCTAGTGTGAGTGTCTCATCTAGCAATCTGAGGAAAGGAAGGGCTGTTGCTAGGGAGAACGGAGGACTTCTTTGAGGTCCTTGATATTTTTCAATGAAGTCTTTGATGTGGCTTATCCTGTAAAACAACACAAAGTATTAACATAGAATATGCAATTTATCATCTAAGACTGATCATTTGGGGTTTCTCTCTTGTCTCTTTGTTTTCCCTTCTTCCCTCCTCTGTCTCATTTCTTCCTCTCCACTCTCTCTCTCTCTCTTTTTTTTTTGTTGGTCATGGGGCCTGAACTCTGGGTCTGGGTGCTGTCCGTCAGCTCTTCAGCTCAAGGCTAGCACTCTACCACTTGAGCCACAGCGCCACTTCCAGGTTTTTCTGCTTATGTGGTGCTGAGGAATTGAACCCAGGGCCTCATGCATGCGAGGCAAGCACTCTACCACTGAGCCACCTTCCCAGCCACTCTTTCTTTTTTTTCCATAGCTCTGGCAGGTGGAACTCAGTGTCTGGTAAGAAGGTAGAACATGGGAGCACATTTATGTCATTGTTTTGAGACAGGGTCTTGCTTTGTAGCTTAGATTAGCTTTGAATTCCTTTTGTTGTTGTTGCTGTTGGTCATAGTTTTTTTTTTTTCCCAGTCATGAGGCTTGAACTCTCAGCCTGGGCACTGTCCCTCAGCTCTTCAGCTCAAGGCAAGCACTCTACCACTTGAGCCACACTACCATTTCTGGCTTTTTCTGCTTATGTGGTGCTGAGGAATCAAACCCAGGGCCTCATGCAAGCAAGGCAAGCACTCTACCACTAAGCCACCTTCCTGGCCCTGGTCATAGAGTTTGATCTCAGAGCCTGTTGTTGAGTCTTAGCTCTTTTGCGCAAGGCTAACATTCTACCACTTCTGGTTTTTGAGTGGTTAATTAGAGATAAGAGTCTCACAGGGACTTTTCCTTTTCTGCCCTGGCTGGCTTTGACTCACGATCCTCAGATCTCAGCCTTCTGAGTAGCTAGGATTAGAGGTGTGAGCCACTGGTGCCCAGTTCTGGCCTAGAATTTTTTTTTTTTTTGCCAGTCCTGGGGCTTGAACTCCCTGAGCTTCTTTTGTTCAAGACTAGCACTCTACCATTTGTGTCACAGTGCCATTTCTGTTTTTTTTTCTTCTGTTTATGTGGTACTGAGGAATTGAACCCAGGGTTTCATGCATGCTAGGCAAGCACTCTTTGGTTAAGTCACATTCCCAGCCCCAAAACAATTTTTTTTTTAGTCAATCGTGAGACTTGAACTCTGGGCATGGGCGCTGTCCTTGCGCTCTTCAAGGCGAGTGCTCTACCGCCTGAACCAAAGTACCACTTCTGGTTTGCTAGTGGTTTATTGGAGGTAAGAGTCTCACGGACTTTCCTTTCTGGGCTGGCTTTGAACCGTGATCCTCAGATCTCCAGCCTCCTGAGTAGCTAGGATTACAGGCATGAGCCACTGGCACATGGCTCAAAATAAAGAAGCCCAGGAGCGGCACCCAGGCCCTGAGTTCAAGCCCCAAGACTGGCAAAAAAAAAAATCAAAGCTTGTTGCTGGTGGCTCATACCTGTAATCCTAGCTTCTTAGGAGGCTAAGATCTGAGAATTGTAGTTCAAAGCCAACCAGGGCAGTAAAGTCCATGAGAACCCTATCTCCAATAAATACCCGAAGAAAAGGTAGAAGTAGAGCTGTGGCTCAAGTGGTTGTGCTAGCCTTGAGCAAAAAAAAAGCTCAGGGACAGCACCCAGGCCCTGAGTTCAAGCTCCAGGACTGGCACACACACACAAAAATAATACCCCACAACTGCCTAAAGTTAAAATAAATAAATTTTATACTAGAAAAAAAATCGAATAAAAATAGAAATAGATGACTTACCTATGAGAAATATTAAATTTCTGGACAATTCTTTTCCCATTGGCTAACCAGATCTGCACATTAGTAATGGGTTCCAAGTTGTTCAATGAAACAGCACACAAAGTATTTTTACTTTCAACTTCAATAATCTTTGCTTTTGAAACAATTTTTGGTGTAGCACTAAGAAAATCCAGAGAACAAAGTCATATTTTTGTTCATTACTATAAAAAACTGACAGTATGGATAATTTTAGGAGAAATTTTGTCATAACTATTTCCTGAATAATAACATAAAGATATTATATTAGTTATATCCACAATCTAAAGCAGTCCCATCTCCAATTAATTTACAAGCTTAAAGGATGCTATGTGTATTAGCTTTACCTATTGCCCAGGATAGATTTCAAAAGAAATTACAAGTTTCCTCTAGAATATAGTCCTTGGATTACAAGGGGAAAAGGAAACAAAAGATTTTGAAAATATATTTTATATATATATATTTTTTTAATTTTATTTTATTTGTGAACACACTGTACAGGAGTTACAATTACATGGGCAGGATAATGCGTACATTTCTTACCAAGCATTGCAGCCTCCTCCTTTGTTTACCCTTCACATCCCTTCCCAGCCTCCCCCCTCCCCCCCTGAAAATATATTTTTATATGTACAGATGAATATGTACGTACCTTATTAATTTTGATATTTAAAATATGAGAATTTATAAAAAGCAAAATGACTCCACTTATAACCTGATATTCAACAATATGAAAATAATGAAAGATTTTGAACTTAGGGCCTGGATGCTGTCCCTACTTTTTTTTTGCTCAAGTTTAGTGATCTACCACTTGAGCCATAGCTCTACTTCTGACTTTTTTAGAAGGTTTTTTTTTTTTTTTTTTTTGTCAGTTGTGGGCTTGAACTCTGGGCCTGGGTGCTGTCCCTGAGCTCTTCAGCTCAAGGCCAGCACTCTACCACTTGAGCCACAGTGGCCACTTCCTGTTTTCTGGCATTTAACTGAAGATAAGAGTCTCATGGCTTTTCCTTCCTGGACTGGCCTTTCCTGCTTGAGCTGCCTTTGAATGGCAATCCTCAGATCTCAACCTACTAAGTAGCTAGGATTGCAGGCATGGGCCACAGGTGACCCAGTTTTTAGTAGTTTTTATTGTAGATAAGAGTCTCAAGCCTTTCCAGTCCAGGATAACTTAGAACAGGATCCTCAGATCTTAGCCTCTTAAGCAGTTAGGATTACAGGCATGTAAGTCGGGGCACTGGTGGCTCACGCCTGTAATCCTAGCTACTCAGGAGGCTGAGATTTGAGGATTGTGGTTCAAAGCCAGCCCGGGCAGGAAAGACCATGAGACTCCTATCTCCAATAAACCACTAGAAAACCGGAAGTGGCGCTGTAGCTCAAGTGGTAGAGCGCTAGCCTTGAGCTGAAGAGCTGAGGGACAGTGCTCAGGCCTAGAGTTCAAACCCCACAACCAACAACAACAACAACAAAAAAGGATTACAGGCATGAGTCACTAGCATCTGGCTTTCCCTAGGCTTTTTTGCTCAAGGCTGCTGCTCTACCACTTGAGCCACAGCTCTACTTCTGGCTTTTCACTGGTTGAAGATAAAGAGTCTCGTGGACGTTTCTTCTTCTTCTTCAAACCATAATACTCAGCCTCCTGAGTAGTTAGGATTGCAGGAGTGAGTCACTGGGCCCCTGTGTTATTTTCATTTTTAGTATCTCAAAAGTCAGGTACTTGAAAAACATATTGTTTCAGATATTGGAAACAATAAAAAAAGAACTCTTTTTTTGGTGGTGCTAAGGAAAAAACTACTTACTAGTCAAAATTTAGCATAGGTATTCTGTAGAATTAATGACAGAGCTTGCATGGTAGGTACAAGGGAGTGAGAATGATTGCTTCAGCATTGTCCTCATAGACCTTTTTGCCTTGGTACTTGGTACAGGGGTCTGAATTCAGGGACTCATGCTTCCAAGGAAAGCGCTCCACTGACTGAGCCATCATACTCTCACTCCTCAACACCCACTTCTGATCTGCATGATTAGTACAGACACCTCTTAATACCTGCTAACATTAAATGACTTACAAATTCTCATAAAAATTAACACTAAAATAATCTCATTTCCAGGCTGGCTCAATGTGTTGAGCAAGTGTGAGACCTGGGTTTGATCACCAGCACACCCAAACCACCATAAAAAAACAAAACTTTTCTAATGAAAGGAGTATTAGTCAGGAGAACAGATAATACATATACTTACCTTCCTAGTCTATGACCCTGTCCTGAGAAGGGCTGGAACACAGGCTTTGTAGACATACATACTTCAGTTTTTTTGTCTTCAACTTTAACATCCACCTCCTCTTTATCAAAAATTCCCTGTAATTCTGAAGGTAATTCCCTTGGAAGGGAAAGAAATGAAAAACATTCTGAATGAAACACAGTTGTATAATATGTAGAAATGTACAACATAGGCATGGGATGTATACTATTCTCTACAATGAAATAAACAACTATTGAAATTAGTAGTCAAGTACTATGAATATGTGCAACACAGGATACAGATATAATTTTTGTTGTTGTTGTTCATCATGGGGCTTGAACTCTGGGCCTGAGTGCTGTCCTCAGCTCTTCAGCTCAAGGCTAGCACTCTATCACTTGAGCCACAGTGCCACTTCCGGTTTTCTGGTGGTTAATTGGAGAAAAGAGTCTCATGGACTTTCCTGCCTAGGCTGGCTGTGAAGCACGATCCTCAGATCTCAGCCTTCTAGCTAGCTAGGATTACAGGTGTGAGCCAGGCTTCCAGGTGTGGCACCACGCTATAGATATAACTTTAAGGCCATGAATTCAGTTTTGTAGCAGTACCTAGAATAGTACCAAACTTACAATTATCTTATGACTGCATAGTGTCGCAGTGTCAAATGTAAAGAATTGCACTGTTTTTTTTTTTTCGAGGGAGGAAATGGGACTTGAGACAGAAGCCTGAAGACTGCCCCTTAGCTTTTTCACTGAAGGCTGGCACTCTACCATTTGAGTCACACTTCTACTTCTGGCTTATGCTGGTTAACTGAAATAAGATTCTCACAGGCTGGCTTCAAACTGCGATCCACAAATCAGACTCCAAAGAAGCTAGGATTCCAGTGTGAGCCACTGGTGCTTGGCTAGTAATACATATAATTTTTGTTTAGAAACTGGAGCTTGAACACAGGGCATCATATTCTTGCTTGGCTTTTTCCTCTCAAGGCTGGCACTCTACCACTTGAGCCATACCTCCACTTCCAGCTTTTTGCTTATTAAGTAGATATAAAAGTCTCTTGGATTTGTCTGCTCACGATGGTTTCAAACCTTGATCCTTATATCTCAGTCTCTTGAGTAGTTAGGGTTACAGACATGAGCCACTGGTGCCCCGCTCAAAAGTATTTTTATAGTACTGAAATAAAATAACCTAGCCAGGAAGCTGTATCTCTGGAGGCTGAGATCTGACAATTGAAGTTCAAAGCTAGACCAGGCAGGAAAGTCTGTGAGACTCTCATCTCAAATTAACCAGTTAAAAGCTGGAAGTAGAGCTGTGGCTCAGTGGTAGAATGTTAGCTTTGAGCAATGAAAAAGCTCAGTGACAGTGCCTAGCCGTTGAGTTTAAGCTCCAGGACTGGGACAAAAACAAAAACCTAAATTGAACACACACACACACACACACACACACACACACACACACACACACACACACACACACACACACACACACACACACACAAGAACAAATATACATATAAAGGTTATTATTGTGATATGTTTAAATATTTCATGATAAATTTAAAATAATGTTCAAATAAGCATATACATATTATTTTAAACTGCAAAAATAAAATTTTAATGAAAGGAAATATTTTTGAATATAGAAATATGAATGGAAATTCAACAGAAATGTTAGTAGTAGTTATTTCTAGGTGGTTAAATTATAAGTGATTTTTAAGTTTTTTCTGAATATTTTAAAACATTTAGGACTGGGAATGTGGCTTAGTGGTAGAGCACTTGCCTAGTATTCATGAAGCCCTGGGTTTGATTCCTCACTACCAAATAAACAGAAAAAGCCATAAGTGGCATTGTGGCACTAATGGTAGAGCGCCAGCCTTGAGTAAAAGAAGCTCATGGACAGAGCCCAGAACCTGAGTTCAAGCTCTAGGACTGGCAAAAAAAAAAACCACCCAAATCAAAACCAAAAATCCCCAACCAAAAACATTTACTTGAAGAAACCACTTAGAATCATAATTATAAACTTCATTATTTTAAAGACTGGAAACATTTAAAAACTCATAATAGGGGCTGGGAAGATGGCTCAATGGTAGAGTGCTTGCCTTGCATGCATGAGGCCCTGGGTTCGATTCCTCAACACCACATAAGCAAAAAAAAGAAAAAAGACAGAGTGGCACTGTGGCTCAAGTGGTAGAGTGCTAGCCTTGAGCTGAAGAGCTGAGGGACAGTGCCCAGGCCCAGAGTTCAGGCCCCATGACCGGACCCCAAAAAAACAAAAACAAAAACAAATAAGAACTCATAATAACAAAGAACATGTGGCACTGAGGAGTAGTTGACAATGTGAAATCATTTAAGGAAGATTTGACTGATCAGAATTTAATTTCCTAATTTTTCCTGCTGGGCATGGGTGGCTCACATCTATAATCCTAGCTACTGAGGAGGCTGAGATCTGAGGATCACAGTTCGAAGCCCGCCTGGGCAGGAAAGTCTGTGAGACTCTTATCTCCAATAAACCACTCAAAAAACTGAAAGTGGCACTGTGGCTCAAATGGTAGAGCCCTAACCTTGAGCTGAAGAGCTGAGGGATAACCCCCAGGCCCAGTGTTCAAGCCCCAGGACCAACAATAACAAAAAAAGGAATTTAATTTCCAACTTAAAATTCTGGCTCTTCTAAAAAAATTCATCTTGGAAAATATGAATTTATAAGCCAGGCACTATGGTAGACACATGTAATTCCAGCACTCAGGAAGTTGAGCAGAAGATCATGAATTCAAAGCCAGCTTGTATATAGAAATACTGTCCCATAAGACATACATACAAGGGCGGGAAGGTGGCTCAGTGGTAGAGGGTTGGCCTTGCATGCATGAGGTCCTGGGTTCGATTGCTCAGCACCACATAAGCAGAAAAAGCTGGAAGTGGCCCTGTGGCTCAAGTGGTAGAGTGCTAGCTTTGAGCTGAAGAGCTGAGAGACAGCGCCCAGGCCCAGAGTTCAAGCTCCACGACCAACAGAAAAAAATAAAATAAAAACGTACATACATACATACACACACCTAATGTATAGTGTCTATGTGTGTGTGTATGTCTGTGTGTGATCACTACTGCAAAGGAATCTTCCATATGAAACATGCCTAAAATATTCTAGACCTATACAAGACTGCTTTTCCTGTACCTATTCAAGAGACTACTTACCCCTTCTTGATGGAGTTCAGAAACTGCCGACTTGCACCATCAGAGTACGTTCTAAAGTCATCATTGACAGTGAATCCATTTTTCCACAACTTTATATTAATATCTACCTGGAAAGCAGTAAAGAAAAAAATGTATTATGTTAGTAAAATGTAGTAGTAAATTAGAAAGCCTTTGACAATGTTCATTACCAGCTAGATATATTTACATTCTGAAGAGCATACGTCAATGTAAAATATAAATCATGTATTTTTTATATATTATTTGCAATGAGCTTCATAATAGGGAGATTTAAAAATACATAGTAATATTGCATAACAGAATTCATTTGGAAAAATACTTTGTGCCTTGTATACCTGGAGGACAACTGAAGTGAAGATTTTAGCCAGGCACTAGTGGCTCATCTTGGTAATCCTAGCTACTCAGCAGGCTGAGATCTGAGAATTGCGGTTCAAAGCCAGATCAGGCAAGAAAGTCTGTGAGACTTTTATCTTCAATTAACCACCAGAAAACTGAAAGTAGTGCTGTGGCTCAAAGTGGTAGAGCCAAAGGAGCTCAGGGACAGATCCCAGGCCCTGGAGGGGGAAGGGGGGAGGGAGTGAAGAATTCTAGATTTTCAATACGTGGAGAGGGACATCATTTGAAATGACTTGACATACTTAAAAATATACGGAAAACAACGGAGATCTGAGGATTGCTATTCAAAACCAACCTGGGCAGGAAAGTCCCTGACTCTTATCTCTAATTAACCACCAGAAAACCATAAGTGGAGCTGTGTCTCAAAGTGGTAGTAGCAAACTAGCCTTGAGTAAAAGATCTCAGAGACCAGGTCCTAAGTTCAAGCCCAATGACTGATATCCCCTCCCCCCCTAGGAAAAAATACAGAAAGGAAAAAGGGAAAAATACAGAAAACAAGCCTTACACCTATAATCCTAGCTACTCAGGAAGTTAAAATCTGAAGATTATGGTTCAAAGCTAGTTCAGGTTGAAACATTAAAGACTCTTATCTCCAATTAATCAGAACTTTGTTTTTGTCTGTTGTGGGGCCTGAACCCTGAGCCTGGGCGCTGTCTCTCAGCTCTTCAGCTCAAGGCTAGCGCTCTACCACTTGAGCCACAGCGCCACTTCTGGTCTTTTCTGCTTATGTGGTGCTGGGAATCAAACCCAGGGCACCTCATGCATGCAAGGCAAGCACTCTACCACCAAGCCACGTCCCCAGCCCAATCAGAACTTTTTTAAATGCCAGAATTGTTCATATGGTTCAAGCGGCAGAGCACCAGCCTGGAGAGAAAAAGCTAAGGAAGATTGCCCTGGCCTTAAATTCAAGCCCCAATACTGGCATGCTTTCTCCTCCCTGAAAAACACACATATGTACACATACATACAGAAAATTAAATGATAAATGAGAAACCCTACAACCAATTAATTACTGTCCATGCCCTCAAATAAAAAATATCAATGACTTTTTGTGGATTTTTCATCAATTTCTAAGATCAATCTCTTTCCTTATTGCATCAAGAAAGGAAGCAAGTCATTGTACATATATTGAGGGTTTAGGAATACAGCTGAAGGCAAGCATGCTTCAGGCTGAACACAGGCTTTCTAATGAAAAAACTGTTTAAGTAAAGTTATTAGACCCTGAGAACACTTTCTTTATTTCTAGCATTCAATGTAAGACTTCACAGATATTCCACTAAGGTATTAGGGAAAATAATCATAATAATAACAGCATAAATAGTTGACCTTGTGTATCTGTAGGTTCTACATTGATGGATCTAACCAACAAAAAAATAAAAAGTAAGTTGGGCGCCTGTGGCTCATGCCTGTAATCCTATCTACTTAGGAGGCTGAGATCTGAGGATTGCAGTTCAAAGCCAGCCCTGGCAGGAAAGTCCATGTAACTCTTATCTCCAATAAACCACCAGAAAACTGGAAGTGGTGCTGTAGCACAAATGGTAGAGCATTAGCTTTGAGCTGAAGAGCTGAGAGACAGCGCTCAGGTCCAGAGTTCAAGCCCCATGACCAACAAAAAAACCCCCACCAAAACCAGAACCAAAAAATGAAAAACCTATATATGTACTAAACATGTACATACATTTTTCTTATCATTACTCTCTAAATATAGCACAAGAAGTATATATATATTTACACTGTAATAGCTATTATAAGAGATCTAGAGATGATTTAAAGTTTATGTCAAATTATGAGTAGGTAGTAATGCAAACACTAAACCATTTTTTTTTTTTTGGATTGATCATGGGGCTTGAATTCTGGGCCCTCAGCTCTTCAGCTCAAGGCTAGCACTCTACCACTTCAGCCACAGCAACACTTCCAGTTTCTTGGTGGTTTATTGGAGATAAGAGTCTCACAAACTTTTCCTGCCCAGACTGGCTTTGAACTGTGATCCTCAGATCTCAGCCTCTTGAGTAGCTAGGGTTACAGGTGTGAGCCACCAGTACCCAGCTATTAAGCCATTTTAAACAGACTCATCAAGCAATGTGTCCTGGATAAGCTTCTGGATGATACCAAAGAATAACTATATCATAACCATATGTCAGACACATAATATATACACATAATATATACATATTTAGGTGTGAATATATTTGAATACAACATATGTTAAATAAAATAACTGAATATAAGGGTGAGGAAATATTTCAATTAAAATTCGCCAGTGGTAATATAGGCTATAGTTCCAACACTTGCGAGGCTGAGATAGGAGGATCTTGAGTTCAAGACCAGCTGAGGCTACATAATGAGACCTTACCTCCAAAAAACGTCAGCTGGAGTCTCATAATGATTACTGCTGTTAGTCAGCTGCAGTAGTAGCCTATGAGACTATCTTCAATTAATCAGGAAAAGGCTGGACTAAGAGTGTGGCTTAATTGGTAGAGTTGGAGGACCTGAGTTCAAGCCCTGGAACACCCTCCCCTGCAGCCTGCTTAGCAAGTATTAGAATCAGTACCATTTTTTTTAAAAAAGCATTAAACTCTGGCTTCTTAGGTTACAAGAATTTTCCAAAGAAGTGGTAGAGTGCAAGCCTTAAATGAAAAAGCTAAGAGACAGCTCCCAGGGCCTGAGTTCAAGCCCCAGGACCTGCATTTAAAAAAACAAACAAGGGGGCTGG